CAACAGACACGAAAAACCTGGAAGATTCTGGAAATCTGAAGCAACAGACACGAAAAACCTGGAAGATTCTGGAAATCTGAAACAACAGACACGAAAAACCTGGAAGATATTAGAAATGTGACATCAGGGAGACCACTGCAAACAATCAGCACCCGTAGAAGCAGGGCAAGGTAATAACTGAAAAGTTAAGAGGAAAACACTGTGTTGCTGTGCTGTAGTAGCAGTTGTTCTGCAGATGCAGTGCGAAGCCACTGAAAGCTTCCCCCGACTATGTTGTGTTCCAGAATAAATTGTCCCAGGGCAGAGACAGGCAGCAGTGCGCAGGCGCGGGCGGGTGTTGGTTACAGGGCAATGGAACGTGAGGAACGTGCGGCGGGCTCTGATTGGCGGAATCGCCGGCACCGTGTATCCAACTCCACGCCGTATATGGTGAAGGGGCGGGACCACGATTTGGGGGCGGGGTCCAGGGCTGCCCCTATATAAGGCCGTGTCCGCCGGTATGTGCTGCATTGAACAGCCTGAAGGCGGCTGGGAGGTTCCGCAATCGGGATCCAGCCTGTTACTGTTAGCGGGCAGCGTCCGCTCCCTTTACCCCTGTCTCTCTCACTCTCAGCTTCTCCTCCCACCGTAGCTGACAATGTGCCACGGCCGTGCGATAGCCCCTCCGGCCCCACTGCCGTCTCCTCCTCCACCCTCTTCGTCTTGGGGGAAGCTGCTGCAGAGGATCGCCGACCTGACCTCCAGTTCCCCGACTCTGACAGCCGCCCCGCTCCCTCCCAAAGCGCCTGAGAGACGGTTCACACTGGACTGGGACAGCGGTGAGTGTAGAGCTTGCTCCCTTAAGCGTGCACACTTCGATCCTTCTCCGGGTTTTGCTAAATCTTCACCCCCTCCCTTCTTAAAGAAACTTCTCGTGTTATTTTGATGTTGTCTGTTTTAATATCGGCTTTTAAGTTTCTAAATGAAATAAACAAAGACTTATCAAACCACCAATCCTGATATGAAAAAACACTTTAATCTCCTTCTCCCTGGCTGCTTGAGTTTGCCTTAGTTAGTGTTAATTTCATATTTCTCCCCCCGCACCATTCTGTTGTAGTCCTGTATACTATCGATTTGTTAAATATATGCACTTATTTAATGCGACCTCATTCCATGCTATGAGATTTAGCTGATGTTAATGTCATATTTGTCCCGTTGTAATACAGTGTACAGGATTATATGCCTCTACATGCCTTAACCGATTTACAACGGTATCCAATGTTCTATGTACAAGGACTAAACGTAGTTAACACCCACGACTGAAGAGATTCAAGGAATGAGTTCGGATATATCATGCGACTTTTAAACTAAACAAAATTGCATGATGATTGCTCCCATTCCCTAATTAAGATTTAATGTTGATTTTCTTTTATGTCCGCCTCCACTGTCCTTACTTGCCTTTATCTTTTATCAATGTACTGGATAAACTAAAAGTCAACATCCCGCTTGTCTGGTTCCCTGTTAGTTTAATGTAAGCTTGATCTGGGTTTGATTTTTACTATTTTTTCCCCCCTCTCTGCAGATTACTGCAGTTTGGATTCGGACAGTGACTCCATCACTGACGACCCCTATGAGGAGTTCCTGTGTGCCGATGTGATGCAGCTGATCGAGCAGAGCCTGAGCGAGGCGAAACACGGCGCCCTCCGCTGCTTCAAGCTGCTCATCCCGGACCGACTGACGGCCCAAGTGGCCGAGGAGCTGCTGCGGCTGGCGGCGGACGAACCGTGCGGCCTGCGGGGCGCCGTGCTGCATCTCAGCATCGAGGAGCCGGGCGGCTGCAAGGATGTGGACCGCATCGTGGTGGACGCCAGTCTGCCTCCCACCTTCGAGCTGACGCTGGTGCTGAGGCTAGAGGCCGGCCTGTGGTCTCGGATCCAGGACCTCTTGAGTTCGGGCCCGTCGTTCACCCCAGGCTACAGCCAGGCGCTCCGGCTCAGTCCCCGCTTCACCATCATCAAGAGGAAACTGTACAGCTCCACTGGTCTCCTCATTGAGGAGTGTTGAGGGAGATGGGTAACGGCAAGAGGAAACTCAATTGAAACAGACTAACCGGCCCAGGATCTCTCCTGGACTGGGAATATCTGATTCCAGTCACTCATTCATTCACCAGGTCTCAAACCTGCACGGTCAAACTGGGAGAAAAGTTACTGGATATGAACTTCTTGTGCAAGTTGCCTCTCCCTGAGGGAGAGAGCAGTAAGTGCAGTGTTAACCTGGAATGGGGCTAGTTCTGTACTGTATAGGGGCTATCCCTTGCAGGCAGAAGGCTTCCCAGATACAAACATGGTGCTAGTGTGTGTGGTCACAAGTTAATGCCCCTTACTGGGGTACAGTGGGTCTGCCGGGCAGCCTATCACAAGGACTTCAGTTGATTTGCATTCAATAACTTTTTGATATTGGTATTCAGTATGGTTTGTACTCACTTTTTTAAATAAAAAAGCCTCTCGATTTGCTGTCTGTCTTAATTGTTTCAAATCAGTCTTGCTCTTGAATGGTCTGACAGCTGGGTGAAGGTACACTATCACTTTGTCAAAAATTAGACTGAACTTCTCAATGGGAGAGTGAATATTCAGTTCATATTAAGAATTGCATCAGCCAGGGTCATTCCAGCAAGTTGGTGTGCTGCTGGGTCCTAGTGATCAAAGATTTGAGACTTTTGTGGCTGATTCTTAACTAACTGCACTTTTTTTTTTTTTTGATTTTAGTCAGTTGCCTTGCAACAATCAAACTTGACTTCTGAACTAACTAGGCAGAAGCCAGCTTCTCATTAACACGAATGCTGCTGTATACTAACTTTGCTGCTTGCCTTTTCTAGATTTTTCCCCACTCGTCCTAAAAGCTCCTCCCACTCCTCAGCTTGCAAAACAAAGCTTGCCTGCCTAAAAAGAGAAGGCAAATTGTGTAGATCCTCCCCTTTTTAGTTATGAACAGTTGGTTTGCTGCCTTCACTTAAAATAGACAAAGGAGATGCTGTACAACAATCACCTAGAAACTAACTTCTGATAAACACTTTTTGACTAAAGTACTTTCTTTGTAGAAGAAAGGATAATGCTTACTGAGCCCCATATACTAATACCTGGAAACAACTGGGAAATCTGTTGTCAAAGGTCCAGTTAACAATCTTTCATAAAATACTGTCAGAACGGCAATCTTGAGCTGTATTACTTTTTTCATAGAGAAAAGTAGTTTTAAGATCTATTTGAGTTTAAAATGGAGCTTCAGAACTTAGCACCATGTTGCACTTCTAGCTGTTTGATTTGTCACAAAAACTGCTGGCCCTATGCTTACCTTTTAATTCAGATTGCCAATAGTCAAGATTCTATAAATCAAACAAGCAAACTGTTGGGGAAAAACTCTGCAGGTCTAGCAGCATCTGTGGAGAAATCAGTTCACGTTTCAGGGTAAGGTGACCCTTTGCTGAGCTTTGCCAACAGTTTTTTTTTTTCCTTTTGACCAAGTTGTTTTACGGCTGCTTTAATTCATGCACCGTTTTTGCAAAATTAATCCCAACTAATTTGGAAATCAACTTCACTGGTCACTTAATTACTCAAGTAACAGTTTATATGGCCTGCTTGCAGTTTGACATTGCACCTACTGGTGTGCAAAGGAAACCTGTCAGAGCCCATTTCTCCCAGTGATCAGTCTCAGTAGCATACACACTGAAGTGTTAGTATTTTTGAGTGAGGTGCTCCAGTTCCACACCACCTCACTGTTATGGTGAGCAGGTGGGTAAGTGGAGCTGAGTCGTAAAAAGATCAGCCACGATCTCATTAAATGGCGGGGCCGGATGGCCTACTCCTGCTCCTAGTTCTTATTCCAGAAGTGTGTATAGTGACATATCTGAACTGGTATATTACGAAACATGTGGATTGCTCACCATAGCCAGCTCAGTTACTTAGTCACTAGCAAACAAATGTATTCATTGATAGTAGGAACTGCAGATGCTGGAGAATCCGAGACAACAAGGTGCAGGGCTGGATGAACACAGCAGGCCAAGCAGCATCATAGGAGCAGAGAGGCTGACGTTTCGGGCCGAGACCCTTCTGACCAGGCCTCAACCTGATTCTGATCGCTCCATTTTGCCATCAGTGGGGAATAGAGGCCTGGTGAAAGAAATGTACTGCTATGTCAATACCCCTTCCTGTAACCACCACATGCCCCCAAAGTCTAACAGAGCCTGTGATAGCCACCTAGGGACTCTTCCTTACCGTGGAAGAGAGTCATCCTTTCCTGCAAACGACCACCAATGATGACTCCTTGTTATACAGTTCCTTAAGTACACCTTGTCAGCACCTTTGCTGTTATTGTTCTTCAGATTTAATGGCCATGTGAGTGAGGTTAAAGGCAAGAGAAACGATTGCTGGAGGGTGGGAAAAGTAAATATTTGGGCTTCTAATAGATGTAATAACTGTAACCACAGTAGTAAAAAAAACCTTGTGGTCTTCATTTGAAAGTTCTTCTGACATATTTCCCACAATTGTGCAATTTTATACACAGCTAGAACTAACCCAGCTGTGTTTGATAAGCAGCTTAATAATGCAGTGATGATTTAAATAGATCATGTGAGCCTTTACCAAAGTGAATCATTGGTCTAAATGTTGCGACTGAATCTAGCGATCTCCTAACTAGCTACTTTTTGTCTCCTGACCATGTTTCGGGGTGGAGGGGTTTGGATGAGTGCCAGACTTTGTTTCAGAACAGCAGGTTCCTTTTTAAACAGACAATTTAGCCGAATAAGAAGCGTGACTGAGGGCTACATCTGGAAATAATCAAGTTATAGTGCAGAAGGCACAGCAGTGCAATTATAACTTAAGGTGTTGAGACCATATTGTTGGCAATCTAGTGGTTCACCTGTGGACCAGGTACTGGGTCTAGTGTCTTCTACTCTGGAGAGATCAGTATTCATGGAGTCAAGAGTCATCCTGGCATGTCAGCTCTCTATAGCAATCCAGTCAGTCCTATTTCCCTCAAGTGGCCATCTATAGAATTTTCATACGACGGAATTTTCCATAGAATCCCTACAGTGTGGAAAAAGGCCACTTGGCCCAATGGGCCCACACCAACCCTCCGAAGTGCATCCCATCCCAGTAAATCATGCATTTCCCATGTCTGACCCACCTACACCCCTGAATACTATGGGCAATTTAGCATGGTCAATCCGACTAAATTGCATATCTTTGGACTGTGCGAGGAAACCGGAGCACCCAGCGGAAACCCATGCAGACACGGGTTGAATGTGCAAACTCCACACAGTCACTGCCTGAGGGTGGGATTGAACCTGGGTCCCTGTGCTGTGAGGCAGTAGTGCCAACCACTGAGCCAATCTTTTGAAATTTTGGATTATCTCCTTTTCCACAAGGTGGAGTGTTAAGGTCATTACCAATATCAGAAACACTCTTGGTCAAATACCACGAGCTGCCAATGTGCCTTGTCCAAACTCTTTATAAGTCTGCCCCTTCATCTTTGTACCATCAACAACTGGGAACAGCTTTTTGTTTTTATCTACCTTAACCAAACCCTGTCATAAGTCTGTACACTGATCAAATCTCCCCTCGATTTCTGTTGCTTCAAAAAGAACAATCCCAACTTTCCCAATCTAACTTTGTAGCTAAAGCACCCTCCCCCACACCCACACCAAATCCTGAAACCATTTGAGTGAATCCCCTCTGTGCACTCAAGGAACTTCAAATTTTGAAAAGTAGTGACTGGATTCAATACTCCAAGAGTAGCTTAACCAATTCTATATAAACCCTAAACACAAAAAAAACCAAAGAACTGTAGATGCTGGAAGTCAGAAACAAAAACAGAAATTGCTGGAGAAACTCAGCAAGTCTGGTATCATTTGTAAATGTTTCTGTTCCAGTGACCCTTCTTCAGAAACCATTAGCTGTTTCTCTCTCCAGAGATGCTGCTAGACCTCAGTTTTTCCTGCAATTTGTTGTTGCTTTAAAAATCCTTTTCTTTCCTGAATGCCCTCAGAAGTCTGTGGAGGCCAGGTCATTCAGTATATTTAAGATCAAGATAGATAGGTTCAAGGGGATCAAGAATTATGTGGAGAAAGTGGGAGAATGGGATTGAGAAACTGATCAGCCATGATTGAATGGCAGAGCTAACTCGATGGGCTGAACGGCCTAATTTCTGCTCCTATGTCTTATGGCCCCCATATAAAAAGGGTTGCATATTTACCTATCACCTTCATGGGGTTTCTGGGACACTGCTTTTAAAATATATCAAAATGAACATCAAGCCTCTTTCCGGCTCAGAACCAGGTACTCTGGACGAACAACGTCTGTTCCTGATTGCTGCTCAATGTTTTCCTCATGCTATATACATTTCAGTAATTTTACATCAACAATGTGAATAACACAGAGTGGGAATTTGTTGGTGGAATATCTTGGCTGACTTACTGGGCAGGTTGAATTGTTTTTCTTTAATCTTTCATGACACGTGGATGTCTCTGACAAGGCCAGCATCTGTTGCCCATCCCTAATTGCCCTCGAACTGCATGACGTGCTCAACCATTGCAGAAGGCAGGTGAGAAATGAACACATGACCATGGGTGTGGAGTCACATGGAGGCCAGACAGGGTAAGGATGGCAGATTTCCCTTCCCAAAGGGCATCAGTGACCCAGATGCTTTTTTACAAGTTAATAATTAGTCCTAATGACACCATTTACTCAGATAATTCAAATCCAATCTTTACAATCCAAATTTATTAAACTCATTTTTAAATTTAATTTAGCTGCTATGGTGGGATTTGAATCCATGTTCTCCGAGCATTAGTCTGGGCCTCTAGATTACTAGCCCAGTGACATTGCCACTCAGCCTCCATTTCCTAATTAAGTAACTTTGAGCTGGGAGTAGACTATTCTCCCCATTCCTAATCTCACACTGAGAAGAAATTTACACTGAGTACCTACGCCTCAGAATACCTTGCACAAGAGCTACCATCCAGTCATTTGAGCTGCTCTGTCATCTGATAAGGTCATGGCTGATCTTTCAACTCAAATCTATATTCCCACATTGTCACCAGATCTCTAAATTCTATTCCATTCTATTGATACTTGACCTGAATATACTGAACAGCCAAGCTTCCACGGATTTCTGGAGGACAGAATTCCAAAGAGACACAACCTGCTGAGTGACGAACCTTTTCCTTGGATCACTCCTCACAGACTGACCCCTCATTTTGAGACTTGGCTCTGAACTCCTTGGTCAGGGAAACAGCCTTTAAACCTTATTCATGGGATGTGGGTGTCACTCAGTTATTATTTATTACCCATTGATAGTTGCCCTGGAGAAGCTGGTGGTGCGCTGCCACCTTGAACCACTGCAATCTCTTTGGTGTAGGGAGACCCACAGTGCTGTTAAGGAGGGAATTCCAGGATTTTGACCCAGCAACACTGAAAGAATGGTGATATATTTCCAAGAGAGGATAGTGAATGGCCTGAAAGGGAACTTATGGGGAAGAGGGTTGTTCCCATGTATCTGCTGTCCTTGTCCTTCTAGATTTTAGATTTATATTTTATTATCATGTGCACTCAAGCAAAGGGTACAAGAGTACAATGAAAAGGACAATTTTAAGTACCTGGGTACAAAATCTTAGTTACAGAAATAGAAAAATGAAGAAATAAATTAAAAAGTTCAGCACTACAATGTTCTTAGCATAAAAGTAGGAAAATAAAGACATGAAGTTAAAATATTAAACATTACCGTCCTTTCTTGAGACATGGGCCTGCAGATAGATGCTCCAAGTCGGGCTTTCCCCAGAAGGGCTCGCTGTCCCCTGTACTGGGCTAAGACCCACCCAGGCACAACATCCTTCACCTCACCACTGCCACAATCTGAGCTCAGGCTGGGCCTGGCCACTGCCACACTCTGTCACTATCGACGCCTCCATAAGGTACGTAAGAAACACCAAAAGCTAGAAACAAAACTGAGAAAAGAAGAAAAAAAGGAAAGTGGGCAGAATGGGGGGGGTGAGATTCGGGCTCAAGAGCAGGGATGTTGCCTACCCCACCGCCACCATCTTTAAAATAACTGCTTCTCTGGAAGTGGCCATGGGTTTGTAAGGTGCTGCCTACATAACCTTTCACAGCAAAGCCTTTAAGAACTTTACACATTTCGATAAGATCACTTCTAAATCTTCTCAATTCCAGTGAATGTAGAGATTGTTTACTTAGTAATCTCTGGTACAACAATCCCTTTCTATGTGGGAGCAGTTGGCATTTTGCTCCTTAATAGGTTTTACTGTCATTTGCTCCCCTTCATATCTCTGAATTGTCTTTGTGATACTGAAGCAAAGGCTTTTCTGAAGTCCTATATAATACAGCCACTATCAACCATATCTCACACCCCCTCAAAAAAAAGCACTAGGAAGCCAGAATGCCCAGACCCAAATGGTTTTGGAAAAATTTATTCAGTTCCACTTGATTTAATTAGAATGTTTGAGGTTCACAATCTTCAGTACTCCCTGTTAAATTGGGTCTGTGCTCATCACTTCCTTTCTTTCCTCAGTGTTACAAGATCAGAATGCTTTCCAACTTTATGACAGTAAAAAATAGGGATGGTGGAGTTGGCTAATGAAAGAAAACAGCTTTTCACATTGCTGTGATTTACACAAAACATTCAAAACTCAAGTTGACAGGCTTGAGGGGCTGAATGGCCTATTCCAGTTCCTATGAAAATCTCTTGCAAAATTCAAGTCACTTTGAATATTGAGGAATCAAGGTTCCGCATCATTCGAAAGTCAGGGATGAGGTTACAGCTTTAACATTTTCTCCATCTTTCTTAGATTTAAATCTGGATCAGGTAATCCATGACCAACGGATCTCGATACATTCCACATCATTGTTTCCAGAGCCAGGGAAGACAAATTCCTCATTATTTTCAATTTTATGAGACTAATCTCCCAAAAGCATCTTGGACCTTCAACAAGGGGTCAACATTATCAAAATCCTGGGTGACCCATCACAATTAGAGTTTGCTCTTCTGAGTAATCGAGAAGCTGTCCTGGGGTCTCCAAACAGCACACAGCCGATCATTCACTTGGTTCAGGTCCTCAAATACCGCAGCATCCCTTGTTTGTTTGTAACGAGAAAGCAAAGGCTGCAGGATAGTGATAGGAAGGCTGAAGTTTAGGTGGGGATAGCAGGCTCCTGCATTGTTGTTTCGGACGTTGTTAGATACAATGCCTGTATGGAAAGATCACATACATTTCATATTAATGCAAAATAGAGCAGGAGCTTTGGAGGCTGAGGGGTGACCTTATAGAGGTTTATAAAATCACAGGATGTTGCTGGTTATGGAAGGTTTTAGTTATAAGGAAAGGCTGGATAGGCTGGGACTTTTTTCACTGGAGTGTAGGAGGTTACTTAATATAGAGGCTCATAAAATAATGAGGGGTATAAATAAGGTGAATAGCAAGTGTCTTTTCCCCAGGGTAGGGGCTTTCAGAACTAGGGGGCGTATTTTTCAGGTGAAAGGAGAAAGATTTAAAAAAGACATGAGGGGCAACTTTTTTTACACAGAGAGTGGTTCATGTGTGGAATGAACTTCCAGAGGAAGTGGTGGATGTGGACGCAATTACAACGTTTAAAAGACATTTGGTTAAGTACCTGTTTAGGGAAGGTTTGGAGGGATACGGACCCGGAACAGGCAGGTGGAATTAGTTTAGTTTGGATTATGTTCAGCATTGACTGGTTGGACAAAGCGTCTGTTTCCGTGCTGTATAACTCTATGATTCCATGAAGGGGATGGATAGGTTGAATAGGTCCTTTTCCCAAGGTAGTGGAATCCAAAACTAGAGGGTGCAGGTTTAAGGTGAGAGGGGAAAGATTTATAAGCCACCTAAGGGGCAACTTTTTCACATAGAGGGTGGTCTGTGTATGGAATGAGCTGCCAGAAGAAGTGGTGGAGGCTGGTACAGTTACAACATTTAAAAGGCATCTGGATGGGAATATGAATAGGAAGGGTTTAGAGGGATATGGGCCAAATGCTGGCAAATGGGACTAGATTAATTTAGGATATCTGGTCGGCATGGACGAGTTGGACTGAAGGGTCTGTTTCCATGCCATAGACCTCTATGACTCTATAAAATGCTGAAGAAACTCAGCAGCTCTGGCAGTTCTGTGGAGAATAAACACAGTTAATGTTTTCAGTCTGATATGTCTCTTCTTCAGAACTGACATATTTTCACCCTGGAGGACGTTTCCACTAGAGGATACATCAAAGGGGCCTGCCTGATATATATTAATAATCTCGACCTTGATTTACAGATGGCAATATCAAACTTTCTAGATGAAACAAAACTTGGACACATTGTGAAGAGGACAGTGTCGAACTTCAAAAAGGACATTGACAAGTTGGTCCGATGGGCAGATGTAATGGTCGATGAGGTTTAAGTACCATCACTTCAATCTGAGCATGAGCTCCCACCTGCATTCAGGATTAGCTTTACCTTTGCCTCAGGTGATGGGACTGGCTGTCCCAATCATTATCTCTCCTGCTCTTTCTCTCACTCCCTCTCACTCCCTCACTGAATTCTTGCAGACTGAACTGTGTCAATTGGGTTCAGTGATTCCTTGAGAAACACTGCAACTTCATACTACAATAGTTTTTTTTCGACTCTTCCATTTTCCTAGCTCTTTCCATTCCAACATGAATCAGTTGGGCCTTGTATCCAAGTAGAAATGCTAATTAACTATCCTGTAGATCTCAAATCCATTCTATTATGGTATTAAACAGATATTTTAAAGTATAATAGCTTATTAAACCTGACATTCTTAACACTTCTCAGCAAGACTTGGGAGATGGACAACAAGGTGCAGGGCTGGATGAACACAGCAGGCCAAGCAGCATCATAGGAGCAGAGAGGCTGACGTTTCGGGCCTAGACCCTTCCATAGTTAGATGTTCCAGCCAATGGCCAGAGTTATAGAGTCAGAGTTATACAGCACAGAAACAGACCCTTCGGTCCAACTTGTCCATGCAGACCAGATATCCTAAAATAATCTAGTCCCATTTGCCAGCATTTGGCCCATATCCCTCTCAACCCTTCCCATTAATGTACCCATCCAGATGCATTTTACATGTTGTAATTGTACTCGCCTCCACCACCTCATCTGGCAGTTTATTGCGTACACGCACCACTCTGTGTCAAAATGTTGCCCCTCAGGTCCCTTTTAAATCTTTCCCCTTTCACCTTAAACCTATGCCTTTTAGTTTTTGACTTCCCCACCCCAGGGAAAAGACCTTGTCATATTGCACTCTTACAACAAGCATTTTTACTCAGATCCCTCTGTCCTCATTGCAGCCAGGCCATTCAGGCTTTTTGTCAGACAGAATCAAAGGAGGTCACATGACCGCTTCATTCCTCCATTCTACCATTTGTTAAAAACAGACAGCCCCGAAATATAACTACCTTATCAACTTTATCTTTCTAACCACGTCTTAATTCTTTGTTTAGTGACATTGACTGTGAAATAAATACAAGGGAGAAAACCGCTGCTCTGCTTTGAATAGTTGACGAAAAGTTCTCCTCTACAATCTCTAATGATGAAGTGATGACAGATTACATACCCAGTAACTCTCCGCTGCTTGTTCTAAAGACAGGTCCCCCACTGGTCCCAGCATGAACTGCGCATGTTGTCTGGAGCATTGCTGGCTGCTGGTCCACCGTGATCACTGCAGAAAGAACTCCAGCTGTCACTGAAGGCCCACAGCTCTCACCAAACACCCCGTAGGCAATGACACAGACATCCTCTCCTGTTGGCAAAGAGATAGTTTCACTGAAGGCACCGCGTAGAATACGCAGCGCTGAAACCGGCAATTCAGACTTTACTGATGTCTATGATCCCCCAGCATCTCCTCTCAGCCCTCCTAGTGGGTGGCACGGTGGCTCTGTGGTTAGCATTGCTGTCTCCCAGTGCCAGGGACTCCGGTTCAATTCCATCCTCAGGCAACTGTCTGTGTGGAGTTTGCACATTCTCCCCACGTCTGGGTGCTCTGATTTCCTCACAGTCCAAAGATTTTCAGGTTAAGTGGATTGGCCATGTTAAATTGCCCATTATGTCCAGGGATGTGTGGGTTAGCCGTGGGAAATGTAGACTTGCAGGGGATGGGTCTGTGTGGGATACTCTTCAGAGGGTCAGTGTGGACTTGCAGGGATGAATGGCCTGCTTCCACACTGGCAAGATTCTATTGTACATCAGACTCAATCATCCTATTCCTTCAGCAGGTTATCTAGTTTCCCCTTTGAAGTATTGACCTCCTGCACACACTGTGGTAGCCAGTTCCATATTCTCTAGGTAAAGAATTTTCGCCTGAAATTCTTATAGAATCTATTAGTCTCCATCAACTAGTTCAACTATCTTGAACAGACGACAGTTGGTACTGGAGTTTCCTCACAAGTGGAAACATCTTCTCTACATTTTTCCTGTCATATATACTTTTAAAGACCTTTGTCAGTTCACCCATCTGTATTAACATTGCTTCAGGAAAGAGCCCCAAGATTAGAAATTCGATTTGGGGACATGGTGCAAAATTGGCAGTATCATTTTGGCTGCTTGTTCAATCAATGGACTAAAATGTCAGGTGGACAATCCAATATTTTCTGAAACAAATTTCTAGCCCTCCCGCATGTTTAACCTTCCTGATATTCATAAACTCTCAAGTCGGGGAGCTGGGGGCGTCCTTCCATCCTTTTATTTCCTCCAATCTCTTCCTGTTCATCTAAATTCAAGGGGAGGCGATGGCCATTTGGCCCATCATGACTGTAGTGGCAGACATAATGAGTAAAGATCTGTAGAAGAAAACAGTCGCTTTCAAAATATGGATAAGGCTTCAGCTAAAAATTCAATACACAGTCCATTAAACAAATGAAGAGGTGCTTAAAATCACAAGAGCAAGAAATAGCTCCAGAAGTAACGTCCAGAAAAGAAAATGTCAGTACTTCAGCTGTTTGATCAAAGCTTTCTTCCCTGTGAATTCGCAGGATCTTGCGCAGGTAGCGTTGATGGGACTGCTCCAGTGCCTTGCAATACTACAGTACTCCAATGCAGTACTGAGAAAGTCCTGCACTGTTGTAGGTGCTACCTTGAACTGAAGCCTCTCAGGTGGATGTTATAGATCCGATGGGACTGTTATAAGAAGAATAAGGGAATTTGTCCTATTGTCCCATTCAAAATGTGTCCCTCAACCAGATAATCTGGTCATGGTTACATTGTGAGATAGCAAGAACTGCAGATGCTGGAGTCTGAGATAACACAGTGTGGAGCTGG